CTAGTTATATGTATCTTTAATCAAAGAATAAATCTAGGTGGTCAAAAAATTTCAGGTTTTAAGTAAAATAATTTCGTTTTCTATGAAAAACTATTTCGACTTTTTTTCCCGAAATTGCAATTTCGGGGTCCCAAAATAATTTTGCGTGCAAGTATACTTCGAACGGCATGAGGAAATAGATATATTGTAGTAACAATTGATTATTTAACTAAGTGGCCTGAAGCCCGAGCTCTCTCTACAGCCAGTGCTGAAGCTGTAGCTGATTTCATATATGACAATATTATTTGTTACCATGGTGCACCTCAAACAATCCTATCTGACTATGGAACACATTTTAAAAATCAATAATTAAACACCTATGTGATAAATTTAAAATACAACATCGATTTTCTTCTCCCTACCATTCACAAACCAATGATATGGTAGAACGATTAAATAGGACTTTAGGAATTGCATTAGGAAAATTGAGAGATACTATGAATTGGAATGAATATATACCTGCTGTATTATTTGCCTATCGAACTCATAAACACAATATAACAAGGTTTACTCCATTCTTTCTATTGTATGGACGAGAAACAAAATTACCAGTTGAAGTAACCGGGGATAGTTATAATGTTGAATTTGATCTTGAAAATACTATTATACAATGAGCTTTTGATTTGGTAGATCAGTTATCAAAACAACATGAAATCGCCCATAGTAATATTAGGAAATCTCAAAAACAACAGAAAGCATGACATGCTGCAAAATTTACAAAAATAATTTGATACCAACCTGGTGATTTAGTTCTAATGTATGATTCCAAATTAGATAAACAATGGTCTGGCAAACTGAACACAAAATGGAAAGGACCATTTAAAGTACACAAATGTTTGGATAAAGGAGCTTATGTGCTACATAATCAATTTAGACAATCCCTAAAAGAAGTAGTACATGCCGATCGACTCAAACCTTATTTATCACATACTACTTGGCAAACTCAAATTGAAATTTGAAACCAGCCTCCTCAAAACAAGTTACAATGGATCTGTGCGTAACTTCAAAATTAATAAAAAAGACTTGAACCCCTAAAAATTACAAATTTTGTTATGGATAATCAACAAGTAGCCCTATTAAAACTTGACCTAATTATGGTTAGATTACATCCTATTCAGCTTATTGAATGTCCGTATCTGCCTGATGAAACTTGGTATGAAGCTATGATTAAAGTCTACAATGCCACTCGACGCGCTTCACAACAAAAACAACAAATTAATGCCTTAGTATATGCATTTCACATAGGAAAACTTATTGAATCATTTGTTACTCCTCATACTAAATGAATGGAATTTGTTTGTCAAAAGTCTATTTTAAATGAGAAGTTTATTTATAATGGAGTAACCCGAGTATATCAACTATTCTTGACAAATCC